TTCAACAGAAACGTTTTTTGAAACGAACCAAATGCGATCGAACGATTTGTTCAAATGAACCAAATTTCGTTTCTAAATTCATATATTAAAATATATAACATTAACAAAACACTTTAGTCGGTCGAAACAAACGAGTTTTGTTGAGTGAAATTCGGTCTCTTCAATAGAAACGTTTTTCTGAAACAAACCAAATGCAACCGATCGGACTATTTTGTTCAATGAACCAAATTTCGTTTCTAAATTCATAGACTAAACTATGTAACATTAACAAAACACTTTAGTCGATCGAGTGAAATTCGGTACCTTCAACAGAAACGTTTTTTGAAACGAACCAAATGCGATCGAACGATTTGTTCAAATGAACCAAATTTCGTTTCTAAATTCATAGACAAAAATGTATAAGATTAACAAAACACTTTAGTCGGTCTAAACAAACGAGCCTGGTGGAAATTCGGTTGCTTCAACTGAAACGTTTTTTGAAACGAACCAAATGCAGTCGCATTTTGCTGAATGAAGAGAATTCTTTGTCTGCGTGCGAGATGGTAAACTGGTGGGTGGTAATCGGCCGTTTCGCTTCTCGAATTTACGATCGACTAATCGGCGCCGAGGTGAAATCGAGGCGAACGCGAACCTAACCTCTTCGATGCAAGAGGCGGGTCCACGCTCGGCCTTAAACGGTCGCATTCTCGAGCCGCGGTGCGTGACTTCACGTTCCACGCGATCCTCGTAATTCCGCCGTTACTCTTACGTGCCGGCACGCTTCTAAAGGCTGATAAGCCGGCCGCCATATTGAATTGTCTTGTACCCCGGAACCTGCCGAGGTTATGTTCAGTGGAAGAAGCGCCACTCGATGAGAACTAGTGAACAAAGAGGTGCATTCCGTTCCTGACCACGTGGTAATAAAAATCCAACCAGCCTATACTAAGCCTAAGAAATGTCAAAATGTTTATACAAATTTTTTTCCGACCGAGTGGACCGAATAATCTGAAATTTTACCACGTGATTATAGAGGCCCTAGCCAAGGTCCCGGCACTCATGAAATTTCATTTCTCGAGGAAAAATTGTTCATTTATCAGGAGCTAAAAAAAATTTTTTCGCCGAAGGCGATACTCAACGCATATTTTCACTGGCGTGGGTTTGTCATTCGGCGAGGTTGGCTCACCTGACGGTTAGCGTGGGACGACACCGAAGCGTTCGCGTCCTACGCCCACCTCGCATGTTTGCAACCTCGTTTTCCGTCAGGATCGAATCCGATCGGCTCCTTTTTTAAACCAGATTGAACGGGACGAGTGAACTAAGAAACTGGGCCCCGTGAACTGGGAAAATAACGAGGGGTCCCGGAAGTAAAGGCCTGATGGAGTTTCCGGACCGGGCGCCATTTTTTCCGCGCCCATTCTCGTTCGATGAGAGTCGTTGAATAAAAAATGGCAGTAGGAGGCAGGTCTAGAATGTCAAGGAGAAGAGGCAACTTCTCGATGGGACGTAAAGCACTAATTCGCGTCTCTAGTCAAATTAACAATTAGACTCGCGGCACTAATTGCGCATGTCGGATCGCACTTGGGCACCAACTGTTCAATGTTGATTCTATGTTTAACTGTCCAGTGTTTGGGGATAAACTTCTCGTCAAAGCTTAGAACTTGATTGCGCCTTCTTGTTGAAGAAAAGTTTTATTAATATGTTGACTTTTTCGTACGTATATATCACACTTTTGGGTCACCTTAAGGGGATGTGAAAGCGGCACCTGAGGTGTTCATCGTTTGTGATACTTTTCTTCGAACTGGATGTGCCGAATCGTTTCAAACTTTGCAACGTGAATATGAACGCCATAAGAAAAGTTCCGGCACCCGTGAAATTTCATTTTTCACGTGAAATTATGAAAATGTCCATGAACTAATTTTTTTTTTAATTTAAATCCTATCAGTTGCAGGTCCTTCCTTATACCCTCCGCATTTATATCGTAAAGTACACCGTTTAGCGCAGATTTATTAATATTTTGACGTTTCTATGTGTACAGAATGACGCTTTCATGAGAGGTTAAAAAAAGCCAAGAGAGAGAAAGACGTCAATTGACGCGCACGTGGTGATTTGCATGACACGCGACCTCGGGAAAATGTTTACAAAGAAACGACTCGTCGTTAACGATGAGACAATCGGCAAGAGGATATTTCTAGACACGGACTATAGACATGTATGCCTGTTGGCCGTCTCCAATGGCACGTTGCATGCCGTGCGTGCATTATGCGCTTTTTACGCTGCACTTTACTCTCGCTTTTTACCGTCCGCTCGTTTTTCCTGGTCGAGCCCATCTTCCCGTGAAAGCGAAAGAGAAAACCGCATTTTCCTCGGCCCTAGTTCACGGTTACGTAGTTTGGGGTAAAGAGGAGAAAAGGAAATGGAATAAAGAAAAGAGAAGAACAAAATGGTCCCTTCTTCCCTCCTTTAAGGGCGACATGAACCAGGCGAAAGAAAAGGCCCTAAGGAAGAACGTGTTCATGGAATTTCATAAAAAAAGAAATAAGATGTATTCCTGGTTCTAGTCTGAGATAAATAAAAAAAATTCATTTATCAAAAGTATATACGAATTTGGAAACTATTAATATATGTATATGATACGTATTCGCAGCTATGGAAATTCCCATTTGATTACTTATCATAGAATTCGTAGCAACCCACGGTGGTCAGTAGAGTTTCGCGCCAAATACGGCGACCAATCCCTGTCTTTAGGTACACTGGGAGACATCAATGCCCTCCCATCCTGCACAGGCGATGTCGTATCTGCAGGGGAGGCATTCATGTCCGCCATTGTACATTCGGACATAATTGGTACATAAAGTGTACAAAAGAACTAGCAGAAAATGTCCTAATGTACACTGGGAGACATCAATGCCCTCCCATCCTGCACAGGCGATGTCGTATCTGAAGGGGAGACATGAATGCCCTCCCATCCTGCACAAGCGATGTCGTATCTGCAGGGGAGATATCGATGCCCTCCCATCCTGCACAGGCGATGTCGCATCTTCAAGGGAGGCATTCATGTCCGCCATTGTACATTCGGACATAATTGGTACATAAAGTGTACAAAAGAACTAGCAGAAAATGTCCTAATGTACACAGAGAGACATCAATGCCCTCCCAACCTGCACAGGCGATGTCGTATCCGCAGGGGAGGCATTCATGTCCGCCATTGTACCTTCCCTGCAATCTAATCTTCCCTTTTCCCTTCTAATTTCAATTTCAGCTCCGAAATCGGATATGCAGGATCTCCATCTCGGGAGGTGCTCACCAGAGGTCGCAGTATCGATTCTGTGGACCGTCCATTTCATCCCAGCGAATGGGTGGACGTCAACCTAGAAGTGCCCAGCACGCCAAGGACCGATTCGACGTTCGCGAATTTGTCGCTGGACTCTAACCTGTACCCAACAACAATTACTCAGGCGTCCAGCTGTGAGTTATTACGTTTTATTTATATAGAACGACCATTTCATATCACCTTAACCCTTTGTACACGGAGCCATTTCGATATATGGGCGAAATTCCCCTGACCGTGCAGGCGATATTGGACCGCTCGTAGTAGCCAAAGGGTTAAACACGAGTCTGAGAGTTTCTTCGACTTGCTTGTTATTATGTATCGTTCATTTTTCAGATCCCGGAAACCGGGAGGTATTCGTCTCGAAAGGTATTACCCCAATTCCTCCACCAAGGCACAGGAAGAAAAATCGAGGAAGACCATTACCGCCGAAACCTGATGAGCTCCCTGAAACTCATTTGGCTTTGTCAAGGTCCGTGCAAAGCTTACATGGAGAGCCTTTATATTCTTCGGTTAAGTCGCCGAAATCAAGAATTAATCGCGAGGGAAGTGTTGGCGACAAGGAAGAGTCTTATACTGATCTTGGCCGAACAATTTGTTCGACCGAAACGGGAAAATGGCCGAACGGGGAGTCGAAGAAAAAGGAAATCTTCGAGCACAAGGTACGATTTGTAATTATAATCCTGTGGAATTAATTTACCACTTCCTGTTTTATTTCTTCGATATCATTCAAAGGAGCATTTCTCCGGGTTAATGCATTTTATATANTTTAAATTGGGGGTATCGAATCGTTTCAATATTTACTACGCGAACATTTGAGCTTTATGGAAGGTCTTGATCCAATTAATTATCAGATAGAATGGCGATGAACGGAATTTAAAATTAATTATCAGTGTATAGAAATTTCTCCGGGCCAATGGAATTTTTTCTTCTCAATGTAATACATATATAAATATTTTTTAATTTCGATTTCTCAGGTGAACGGAACCGGAAGGGTGATTCCCAGCATCGTCGTCTCCGGGGGGAAACTTGAAGACTGTAAACCACATTCCCAGGGCGTGGAGAATTACAACAAAAGTCCCTACGAGGATTATGTGAAAATCACAAAGGACCCTTCGGAGGAAAATCCCCGAGGAAATTCGACATACCACCAGGAAGCGATCAGCGGGCAAAAAAGGCAAAAAAGTCCGACGAGGTCGAAAAACCACAGCACCGTCAGTCTTCCGAGCTACGACGAGCTGGAAGTGGTGAAGCACGCCGTGGAAAAGGCGAAAGAAGCCGAAAATCTGAGGAAAACCAGCCTGGCTGAAAAGCTGCAAATCGAAAATGGAAAAACCCCCCAAAGAAACGCCAGCACTGGTTCCCTGCCTGTCGAGTCGATTTTCACGTCCTTCTCCCAGGTTTACATTTTACTAATTGCGTAATTTCATGATTCCGTCACGTTCAGATTTTTCTAAAAGCACCTCGCGACATTATAAATTCATTCTTATTTTATTTTATTTTTTTTTTTCAGCAGGATATACCTGGCCATCATTTTGCGATTTTATGATACCACCTTAGGGGTTGTGCAAAAATTCGACACTAGGTTCTTTTAAGAGCATTAATTAGCAATTAATTCCCACGTGAGGAAATTGTTTGCTTTTCGCATTTTTCATGAGGTCTTACGGTGGCGATGATATAAGGGTTGGCCTACCACTTTAAGGGTTGTGCAAATAATTTTAAATTAGGTTCTTTTAAGAGCAATAAATTAGCAATAAATTCCCAGGGGAAGAAATAATTAATTTCTTGCATTTTTTTATGTGGCCATACGGTGGCGATGTCGTAAGGGTTGGCCTACCACTTTAAGGGTTGTGCAAATAATTTTAAATTAGGTTCTTTTAAGAGCAATAAATTAGCAATAAATTCCCAGGGGAAGAAATAATTAATTTCTTGCATTTTTTTATGTGGCCATACGGTGGCGATGTCGTAAGGGTTGGCCTACCCCTTTAAGGGTTGTGCGAAAAATTCGGCATTAGGTTCTTGAAAGAGCATTAATTAGCAATTAATTCCCATGTGAAGAAACAGTTTAATTCTCGTATTCTTTACGTGGAGAAATAAATTAGGTATTAATTCCTAATGTGAAATGATACCATCCTGGCCATTCCAAATTCGTGACGAATTTGGCCTGGTCCTGTTGTAACGTTGGGGTGCCTTTTCGTTTCAGAAGACCGCGGAAAGACTGGAAAATTACGTGACGAGGTGCAGGAGTTTCGGAAGTCTCCTTCCCCATCAGATCCTGGACAGATTGAGGAACGAGGAGGAGCAAACAGCCGAAAGCTCGGAGGACGAGTGGAGTGGTTTGGACGATTGGGACCTGGGGGTCGTAGAACATTACGAACCGGACGATGGCCGAGCAACCTCAGTTTCGAATTCCAGACACCGAGAGAAGAAGGTGGATGTAAAATGATTCTCGCTACCATCCCACTAACGACGCTAGAAAATTAATTATCAGATACCAGGATAAGAGGAGGGCGATAAACAGCATTTAAGGGGATGTGAAAGTGGCGGTACCCTTTGGGGTATCATCTTTTCTTTAAATTGGGGGTACCGAATCGTTTCAATATTTACTACGCGAACATTTGAGCTTTATGGAAGGTCTTGATCCAATTAATTATCAGATAGAATGGCGATGAACGCAATTTAAAATTAATTATCAGATGCCAGGATAAGAGGAGGGCGATAAACAGCATTTAAGGGGATGTGAAAGTGGCGGTACCCTTTGGGGTATCATCTTTTCTTTAAATTGGGGGTACCGAATCGTTTCAATATTTACTACGCGAACATTTGAGCTTTATGGAAGGTCTTGATCCAATTAATTATCAGATAGAATGGCGATGAACGGAATTTAAAATTAATTAAAGATGTATAGAATGACCCTTTCATAACACCTTACCATTTTACGATGTTGATAACGAGCCGCGCATTAGAAATAATTGATAAAAAGATGTTCTATCAAGGATTGCCTTGCAGAGCCCGAAATTCAACATCGGCGGCGAGAATCTGCTTTCAAAAAGGACTCCGAAGGACAAAGGAGAAGACGTGGTGGACTCCGGAGGAAGTATCGAAGAGAGGCAGAAAAGAGTTGGGGAAAATGGAAAGGACAGCATCGACCCTCCGGGAAATGGCACCATTGAGGTGCCAAAGTCTGGGACGGCATTCAAGTCCGGCTTGAAGCTGGAGACTGGAGGGAAAACTTCAACCCCATTGAAAGCTGACATGGACACCGGGAAATCGCAGAAGACCACCTTAGAAGACTGGTTCCTTGGCCAGGAGAGGTGAGTACTCGGTAGGTAATGAGACTCTTTGTGCAAAGGATCTAAAAGGACCCGCTAGGTCAGGACGAAGAGTAACATCATTGATGGGTACGTCCAGGTCTGTTGGGTTTTTCGACTCCAAAGATGAAGACAGCACCCCTGCGCAGGATTTCCTGTCAGCTAGGGATGACAAAGTTCCCGAAGAGAAGGAAGGGTTCAAAAGCTTCCTGGAGCGGTCCAAGGACACCAGCGAGTCGTTTTTCGAAGCCCGAGAGGATCCTAGGAACGCGGAGGGTGAGTATGATCCTTGAAGCATGGTGTATGATCTGCCCTGGCATTTGGTTTGATCTGTGCTGACGATGAACAATGTTGTTCCCTCTAGCAAACAACGTGGACAATGGGGAAGTGGAGCCGAGAGGTCCTTCGAAGACGCTGAAGAGGACTCTCTCCAACGAGAGCGAGCCATACGACAGCTACGAGGAAAAGGAGCTGGTCATGGACATCAGGTCGCAGTCCTCCGTCAGCAAAATCTCCAGGACGATTTCAGAAGAGTCCCTTCCCCGCGAGATGCTGGAAGAGGTCGACATCGACGAGGAAGAGGACTTCTTCGAGGTGAAACTCGCGAAGGACGTGCAGAACAAGATGACGAAGGACTTCGTCTCACCGAAGGAGAAGAGTCTGAAGACCCCACCACCGAGTCCAGAGCCGAAGATCAAGGCAGAGATCCTGGACAACGATCACTCGACGTTGCTGAAGGTGCTGAAGGAAGCTGGGGGAGAGGAGAGTAATCTGAGCTCCATGACGCCAAGTCTCACCGAGTTGGAAGCTGCGTTATCAGACATGCTGGAGAAAGAGGAGGAGAAGCAGGTGGAGGTGGACAGGGACCCCGAAGAGCTGGACCCCAAGGCGGACTCCAGCAAGTTCCTGGAGAAACTGATAGAGCCGAAAATCCTGCCGATGGGAGTGGAGAAACCTGGAGAAGGGACGACGGAAGATGCGGACCAATCCAAACTTCCAGGTCCAGATCCTGATCGAAGGGAGTTCAAGACGGTCTCTTTGGAGCTGATCATCAACGACTCGAGTTGCTCCCAGAGAAGTCAAATGATGATCGAAGACCATGAAGAGTCTGACTTGGTGGAGGTGGACTTGAGGAACGGAGACGTGCACAACGCCTCGGTGCATCCTGAGATGAAGGATCACCAGGAGCATCGGGAGTCGAATCCGGCCTCGATTGGGGACTCTCCACCTTTGGATCTGGATTGCCCTAGGACACCAGACTGTGTGGTGTTGTCGAGTTATAGGAAATTAGATTTTGGGCACGCGGACATTCCGCCGGAGAAGCCCAGTCGCTTGCATAGAGTCACTTTTGATGAATTCAGTGATTATAACCAGCCAGTTCCTACACCTCCCAGGAGAAGGCACCGCAGTGGCTCGAGGGTGTCCAAGGAAGACGCCTCCAAGTCCATAACCTCAAATCCTGGTGAACCAGATCCTCATCGTAACGACAGACTCATCTAATGTGGCGGGTTCGATGCACATTAAAATTTCAAACGCGACCACGTGACTAATAATCATGTGATATGACGGAACGAAGTGCGTCATCTCCGCCAGGACAAAAGACGGATAATGGCAATATAGGTGCGTTATGTTATGTGCTAGTGTAGGGAAAAGAAATGCATCCACGCAGAGTACAGACTGGACGAAAGAGAAGTCCTCTGGAAAGGAAAGGAAGAGGAAGGAGGCACTAATTAATCTCGTTATTATGCGATAAACCGGGTTGCCGTAAACCGCATAGTGACCGCCTTAATGGCGGCGAGCGATGCTCTAATTGTGCACCTTCGCGGATGTTTAATTATATGTATGTGTATATGTATGTACATCACACGTAGAGACGCCTAATGGCGGAATAAATAGCGAAAAGAGTTGGAATCCAATCGAAGATGGATGCTCCCTTTTCCTTCTTCTGTTTCTTTGGGCCCTGGCGTATTTTTTATTTTCAGACGGGAAACCGACGCGGTTTCGGGTTACCCATTACTTTTTTAATTATTTCCTCTCGCTTGGGAGGGAATCGTCTGACGTTATGCGCTTAACGGTCTTAATCTCTTTAAAGCTCCCGCCCAAGCTTCGGCGGCCATCTTGGATTCGCTAGATGGGCTCTACTTTTAGGTGTTTTATTCAAGTTTCTCGATATCCCCGATTATCTCGTAGGATTAAAGCGATATGAAAGGGCCGTTCTATACATATGAAACATAAAATCAAAATATTTATTAAACTTTTCTCCGGCCGAGTGCAATGAATCTTCTGAAACTTCGATACGTAATAATGAAGGCCTTAAAAAAGAACGCGGTGCTCGTGAAATATCATTTATTAAATATAATATGTATTCTTCGTTCCAGTCTGGGGCAAAAAAGAATTTCTTTATTACAAATGAAATTTTCCGTTTCGATGTTATATTTATAGAATGACCCTTTCATATCGCCTTATTAAAAATGAAATTTCATTTTTCGACGTTATATATATAGAACGACCCTTTCATATCGCTTTATTAAAAATGAAATTTCATGTTTCGACGTTATATATATATAGATTGACCCTTTCATATCCCCTTATTATAAATGAAATTTCATATTTCGACGTTATATATATAGAATAACCCTTTCATATCACCTTATTAAAAATGAAATTACATTTTTCGACGTTATACATATAGAATGACCCTTTCATATCGCTTTATTAAAAATGAAATTTCATTTTTCGACGTTATACATATAGAATGACCCTTTCATATCACCTTATTAAAAATGAAATTTCATTTTTCGACGTTATATATATATGTAATGACCCTATCATATCACCTTAACCTGTTGATTAGATTTGACAAGCGAATTGTCAGGAGAAAGCTGGAAAACGATTAGGACCAATGGTGTCGCAGATTTTCAGGTATTGTTGTCGGATCGATCGGCATATTAGCGCATGATTTGATTTCGTGTCTTCGGCCGTAAATGGCGTCGACAATAAGCATCGCTTTCGAGGAGTTCGACGGGATTAGCGAGAACGCATTATGGCTGACGTCTGCGCTTGACAACCCTATTAGTACTGGAAGAACGGGGAGATTTTTTTTCCCCTAACGTCAGGCATAACTTAGGTGGGAATAAGAGGCGCGAGATGGAAGATGGCGGCAAACGGCCCCAGAAGGCGTGCCCTTGGTCCCCGGGATGGTCCGCAACTTATTTCGGGATAATTACCTCCGACCCTCGGTGAGCAATCCGTTTCACCGAGGCTTCAAGAAAAGGACGGTATTGTGAGAGGATTAGCACAAAAAACCGAAGGATTTTCAATGATGAACAACCATCGGTGAATTAAGATTGACAAGGGAAGTGGAACTTCTGGATTTATTTTCCAAGCAAGAGTCCTGTCGACTGGAATTTTCTCGATGCGATTATAGCCAGGATTGTGGACTATTTGTTCAGAGGTTGTTGTAAAACGGTTCTAGGGAGTTGAACAAAATTAACGACGGACGCATTCGCGAGTAATTAAGTGAGTACCTCGGAGTTTTCGGTACTTTTGGGTTTCGAAACGGTCGAGGGCGGCGAGGGCGCCGCCATGTTGGCTGCGGAGGGATACAGTGTTACCGGAAATTAACTTTGCATTTCCAGTGTCTTAAAAATTGGCGATATTATGCAAAGTCTGTGGGAAGAACCGAAGGATTGTTAGTAATGAACAACTCTTGCCCCGGTGAACTAAGACTGATGAGGGAAATGGAACTTCTGGATTTATTTCCGAAGCGAGAATCCTCTCGACTCGAATTTTCTCGGTGCGATTACGGCCGGGAATGCGGACTATTTGCTCGGAGATTGTTGTAAAACGGTTCTAGGGACTTGAACGAAACTAATGATGGCTGCATTCGCGCGCAACGCGACGGGTACTCGAAATTTCCGATACTTTCGTGTTTCGGAAAGTTCCCGGCCGCCATGTTGGCTGAGCGGAGGGAACTCGTCGGCGCAGTTCAACGGGAGCTAGTTTAAGGTTACCGCTTGAGTATCCAAAATGGCGTTACCGTGAAAAGAGTGCAGGTGGATTTTATTTTACTTCATCGACATCGACGTCGATTAAATTTCTTAGCGCCTATCGTATCGCCTTAATGGCGACGATCCAGTGACGCGGTTAAAGCGGCGAGTGCCGCGTAAATACCTCCTCCCCGTTGAAATACCTAACCTAGAGGTTAGGTTAGGCGAATGTACATCGCGCGGTGGCGGTTAAGCGGCGGTTTAGCTCCCGCGCTTCTACGCCTCGCGGTGCACACATCCGCGAGTCAATTGCTGAGATAAGGCCGAGACAATGCGGTAGTTTGTTGCGAGGACTTAGCTTAATCTCCGAGGAAGTAAGTCCGTCTTAAGTCGCCCTTACCCGTAACCGCGGTCGGGAATTGGCGGCCAGGTTTTGCGACAAAGACGCCGCGGAATGGCTGCGATAGGGGCGCCACTCGCGCATACGGACGGAAGGTAAACTAGTAGGTATCGCTATGAGAAAAAAAATTCACTGAACAAAAGAAACGATAGGGACGCCACTTGTTCATATGGACGGAAGAAAAACTAGTAGGTATCGCTATGAGAAAAAAAATTCATTGAACTAAAGAAACGATACGGGCGCCACTTGTTCATACGGACGGAAGGCAAACTAGTAGGTATCGCTATGAGAAAAAAAATTCACTGAACAAAAGAAACGATTCGGGCGCCACTTGTTCATACGGACGGAAGGCAAACTAGTAGGTATCGCTATGAGAAAAAAAATTCACGGAACCAAAGAAACGATAGGGACGCCACTTGTTCATATGGACGGAAGAAAAACTAGTAGGTATCGCTATGAGAAAAAAAATTCATTGAACAAAAGAAACGATAGGGGCGCCACTCGTGCATACGGACAGAAGGCAAACTAGTAGTTTTATCCAAAACCCTTAAAAAGAAGTGTTATATACGAATCGACTGATTCGAGGGAGGTTTCACTTCACCTTAAACCTTCTGATCCACAAAAGTGAGGTTAAATCTGGGCGATTCCGGGATTAGAGGCGGAGCTAGCCTCCGTGGGTTTAATCCTCGGAATTTATGCCCCCCGCGAACTATTTAGATAGGCGAATAGTCGCGATTTCGGCTTCTTACGAGGCCGTGTGAGGCATTCGGCGACTAATTACTTCTTCAGCCACGGAGATAATCCGGCTGCGAAAGACTGAGCCGAAGTTTACGGTTTCTACGAGATCTCGGCCTCTTCTTCTTCCCTTTCTCCTCCATTTTCCTGGCAGGATGCTTCGAGCGGAGATTAAGGCGATATTTAAACTAGGAGTACAGTCTGCATTCGTTTGCTTCTTCCTCGCCAGATGGCGGTGAGATTAATCTTATCGAAAGGAGGAAACACCCTCTACAAAGTAGGAAACGCCCAATGTGGAAGGACTAAAACATTCGCAGAGAATTCCGAACGAGAATTAGGGATAAGCTATCGGTCCATCTTGCTTTTGCATCTTCTGATCCTTACAGCTTCTCTGATTCTACTTTCCTGGGTTGTTTGTAGCACTTTCTGAGCCGTATTTAAGAACCTACTTTGATTAATGGCATTAAGGGGATGTGAAAGTGGCATCCGGAAGCTCAATCGTTCATAACAGTTTTCATAGAACTGGGTGTCTCAAATCGTTTCATACTTTAAAACGTGAATATCGAGACCCTAAGGTAGGTCCTGAAACTCGGTAAATTTCATTTTTTATTAACTATTTTAAAATACCTATATGCAAATTTGAAGAGAAGTGAAATTTCATGCGTTTCAGGACCTTCCTTATAGTCTCCCTATTCACGTTGTAAAGTTTCAAACTATTTGGTAAATCTAATTGAGAGAAAAGTTATAAACAAATCCTCTTCGACGCCACTTTCACATCACCTTAAGGTGAAGTGAAACATCGACCGCATCCTCACGAGTCATGCGTCAAAATTTCGGACAGTTTGGTCAAATTGGCTTTAAAAAAGGTATTAAAATCGATATTAAAATCGACGGATTTGACGCGGACCTTAAGGTGAAGTGAAACCCTCTTAGAATACTCTGGTAATCGATAAACTCGCATTTGAACGGGATAAAGGCAAAAAAAGTGTTGTATGCGCTTCTATGCCAAAACGATGGCATGAATCCAGAGGATTTCTTTATAATTATTGTACGAAAACGACAGGTGGAGTATGCCATTTGGTACAATATCCAATATAATTCGACCCAGCTGTCAATATAAAAACCAACGTCCGGAACGTAGGGATTTAGAAAAATCTTCTTTACCGACGTCGATCAAGTTCCTCGACGTGTTTCACTTCCCCTTAAACGAAGAAGATTTTTGTTCCAAGTGTGGACTCCGTGAAGAAGAGTGGAGGCTAAAAGGAAGATAGAGGGCAGAAAGTACTGCGGAATGGCCCCGGTTGTTGTACGGTGGCATGGAAATTAGCGCCGTGGAACGACTCGTCGTCAACCGACGCCATTACGACTTCTTTCTCCCTAAAGAGAGAGAAGTGGATCCCGAATGCAGGGGCCACTCCCGGGAGTTTCCTCCTTATGCGAATACCGCATTAAGGAATGCACTCAAAGTTTTACGGGGGATTCACCGCGAGACGACTTGCGATTTCCTCGGAGTTAGTACACCACCATGGCCGCCAGAGGGCGGAGGGCATTTCCGGAAACTGGGACTCCCTTCATCGGCGAAAATTCTAAAACCACCCCCACACTAATGAAATAAACGTCTAGATCGTCATAGAAATCGAAAGAGAAATTTAAGAAGTGACCATGTAAGGTCCCCTAACCCCAAAGAAGGAATCGCGAAGGACAAAATCCGCCATTCGTTAAGCAACCGTCAAGGGGAATAAGTCTCTTGCCTCCAGAACTCCTTTTTAGGCACTAATCTGTTAGAACCCAA